CTGTCCCCTTTGGATGTTCCTGTCCCCCTTGGAGGTTCCTCTCTCCCCTTTGGGGGTTCCTGTGCCCAGTTTGGAGGTTCCTGTGTCCCTTTTGGGGCTTCCTCTGACCCCTTTGGGGGTTCCTGTGTCCCTTTTGGGGGTTCCTCTGTCCCTTTTGGAGGTTCCTGTGCCCAGTTTGGAGGTTCCGGTGTCCCCTTTGAAGGTTCCTCTGTCCCCTTTGGAGGTTCCTGTGTCCCTTTTGGGGGTTCCTCTGTCCCCTTTGGAGGTTCCTGTGTCCCTTTTGGGGGTTCCTGGGTCCCTTTTGGGGGTTCCTGTGTCCCCTTTGGAGGTTCCTGTGTCCCGTTTGGAGGTTCCTGTGCCCACTTTGGGGGTTCCTGTGTCCCCTATGGAGGTTCCTGGGTCCTTTTTGGAGGTTCCTCTGTCCCCTTTGGGGGTTCCTGTGCCCAGTTTGGAGGTTCCTCTGTCCCCTTTGGAGGTTCCTCTGTCCCCTTTTGGGGGTTCCTGTGTCCCTTTTGGGGGTTCCTGTCCCCCTTGGAGGTTCCTCTGTCCCCTTTTGATGTTCCTCTGTCCCCTTTTGATGTTCCTCTGTCCCCTTTTGATGTTCCTCTGTCCCCTTTGGATGTTCCTGTCCCCGTTGGAGGCTCCTCTCTCCACTTTGGAGGTTCCTGTGTCCCTTTTGGGTGTTCTGGGTCCCCTTTGGATGTTACTGTGCCCATTTTGGAGGTTTCAGTTGGGAGGTGCCACTTTTGAGGTTCCTGTGTCCCTTTTGGAGGTTCCTCTGTCCCATTTTGAGGTTCCTGTGCCCAGTTTGGAGGTTCCTGTGTCCCTTTTTGGGGTTCCTCTGTCCCTTTTGGAGGTTCCTCTGTCCCTTTTGGGGGTTCCTCTCTCCCCTTTGGAGGTTCCTGTGTCCACTTTGGGGGTTCCTCTGTCCCCTTTGGAGGTTCCTGTGTCCCCTCTGGAGTTTCCTCTGTCCCTTTTGGAGGTTCCTGTGCCCACTTTGGGGGTTCCTGGGTCCCCTTTCGAGGTTCTTTGGTTCTGTTTGGATGTTTCTGTGTCCCCTCTGGGAGTTCCTGTGCCCAGTTTGGAGGTTCCTGTGTCCCTTTTGGGGGTTCCTGTGTCCCCTTTGGAGATTCCTGTGCCCCTTTGGAGGTTCCTCTGTCCCCTTTGGAGGTTCCTCTGTCCCATTTTGGAGGTTCCTGTGTCCCTTTTGGGGGTTCCTCTCTCCACTTT